CTAAGTACTGTCCGACACTGGACCGGAAAGATCACATGATTTTGCACTGTCCCTATGCACTGTCCGTAGACTTCCCGGCGAAAAAAAGTGTCGGGTCATGTGATTCCGATTCCGATGCCAACCATCTGATATCCCCCTTAAATCATGCACCAATCAAATCACAAGATCAATGTGTAATGCAAAAAATTGAAAACAAACGCTTATTTTTGAAAAATAGCTTGTATCTTGAAATTTTACGTATGAAACAATCATTTGTGTTCTAAAAAAAATGTTCCTTGCGAAATTTTCCTATATACTACGCCCCCGTTTGCTATATATTGTACAATAACGACAACCTTAACCTTAAATCTAACCCTAACCCTAACCAAAACTCTAATCTTATATATTATAAGGGGGATGTCGGATCGGGAATCACATGACCCGGCACTTTTTTCGCCATGACTAGGATACTATTTTTTTTATCATGGCTAGGATACTACAAGGAGGGCATGTGATATCAGACTATTTAATTGGAAAAGAAGCAAGGGGGATAATGATCAGCCTCGATTATCATGCGGGTTAAACAAATCATAATACTTTTGATCTGATCACCTGTTAAGGTCATCTGGCGAAAAAAATCACTATATATTAAGTTGAATTAATAGGCATTGCCACTAAATCCATCATGTATCGCTCTTTTTTGCCTTTTTCCTGTACACAAACACCTTCTTCCTGGCTCGAGCAAACGCCCATTCTACGCCACCAACAATAAAGAAAACATATATAGCTGTTCCTTTGCTCAATCCACCATGCATCGCCACGCTCTTTTTCCCCAAATCTCTTTTCTGGTTCGAGCAAACGCCTGTTCTACACTGCAGTACCAAACGCGAATATCGAGCCGAAAAAGAGCAAGTCGAAGAAGAAAGAATTGGATGCTCAGTTAAGAAGTGTGTAAAAACCAGTAACCTGCTCCATCAAATGAAAAAACAGATCATGAAAAGTGACATACTAAAATGAAGCTGTGCAACTTAGTGAAAAGCACGAGATAGAAAAGATGTCAAAGAGCGCATGGTGAGTTTTACTTGAATCTACTTTTCAGCGATCATGAGTTTCCACTCATTGTCTCTCCAGGTTCGATGGAACTAGAATACCTACAATTAAAAGATTTACATTCTCTTTCTGAAGATTTTATTAATCTTTGGGTTCTCTAGAACGGTGGGAAACAAGGTTGGCGTACGTTAATGGGAACCGAAGAGCAAAGCGAGAACAGTATCTTCGCGATAATCCAACAGTATTGAAAAATTTTGCGCTCATCTGGAAGATTACGGATCAAGTCAAAGCTATTCCGGTTGTGGCCGAGAATATGTCAACCATTTATGCAAAAATCCATAACGCATATTCTATTGTGAGCCGTGTAGAGTGGCGTAGAAACGAACTAGGAAAGCATGGAGCTCAGTTGTGGAATTCATGTGCGAGGATTTGGAACTTCCATATCTTATCATTGAAGAAGCTAGATAGAATGTTTATAATCAATGAAAGTATAATAAAGAAAGTACACGATAATGACCCGGGAAAAATTATTATCCTTTTCGATTATATTGCGCGAAATGTACTTTGCATGTCAGATCCTAAGCGCGATGACACTTCCTATTCTTTTGATCCCACTAGTAACGGTCGGCAATATATACGACGATCGCCTGATCAAAGGGTACGTCGATTGATAATGCACCAATCATATCGTTCTAGCCGATTCGATACTCGTAATTTTATTTTTCCGATATCATAGCGATAGGCATAAAAAATAAAAAACCTGATACGGCGCGAAAAGCCACTAATACCCTAGCCACGGCGAAAAAAAGTACCAGTCATCAATATCCCCTTCACAGGAGGACTTTAGCATAGGATCTATTATACATATTTGGTAATTCAATCCCGAACATACAGTGTAAATCTCTATAGTGTATCCATTATATATATCGAGAGTTTTTGATAAATATATTATATCTAGTGGATTTTATTAGAGGCAGTTTTGAATATTATCCACTATCGCTATAATGTGAATTTAATTAGTCTCTAATATAACGGGGGTACACTTCACTGTGTACAACGTAAGTACACAACGTTTATAATAATTCGATAGTTTACGTTTTTTTAAAGCGATAATTCACAATGTTTCTTATTAATTATTGACAATAATAAAAATAAAGTTATATCTATTGTAATTTGAATTTTTTTAATGCCTCCTCCAACGTAGATATTGTATACTCCACTGATCCGTTTTCGTCATTATCATCACAAATATCGTTATCAGGTTCTTCAACTTGATATTCTTCATTAAAGCGCTGTAAACGTTCTAGTAAGGACTGAATATTTTCACGACACCATCTTGTAAGAATGAGAGACAATAGACATTTGAATCCGTTATTATTATAACAAGTTTTACGATACGTGTGGCCACAAGCTAGAACTTTAATCGGATCTGTATTAGTGGGTAAAGAAATAGAACAGTTAGATATATCACAATAATGAAGTGGATCTGGTTTACGTGAAGTACTAAAACCCAAGGGAAGATGACATAAATGTGCTTCTGGCATTTTCATTACAGCTAGTAAAACGGTATCATCACCTTCGTCTTTTTTTTGAAGATGAACTTACGGTGACTTGTAATGGTGTTTTATTATAAACTATGCGCGTATAAATCTCTGAAAAACATTGCAAAAGAAAACACGCATTTTTTTGTCAAATTCGCAATATCCCACGCAGAATATTCATAAGTTGCCCATGTCGACGTGTGTGCAAAGTTTTCTTTGAATCCATACGTAGTTGATTAAGATAACGTCCATATTTAATAATCTGTTGTGCTTCTGTATGTTTTTATGTACTTTGGCGCAAAAAACTCAACGGTAGAATCTGAAAACTTTGGAAGTTCAGTCTTAATAGTTTCTAAGATCGGATTATTATTCAAATTTCCAGTAAAAAATAATATTAATGGTGCCTTGTAGCATGTGGCCTGATGACAGAAATCGGCCACGATCATTATTCTGGCACATGATAGTTCGCATGTGGCCTAACGACGGAAATCGGCCATGATCGTCATCCCGGTATACGATAGTTCGCATGTGGTCTGACGACGGAAATCGGCTACCTTGGACACCTTGGCGTGTGGCCTAAAATGTGAATCACGTTATCCACCTGATCACTATGGTAGACTACGTACAGTGCTTGACACTTAAAAACTGAAATAAATTATTCGTTTTTTAAAAGGTAAAGGAATGTTATACATATGTGATACAAGAAAAAGGAGGCCGCAGATTTGTAATTAAACCAATT